TATAAAGGCATGTTAGACCATAATAAATTGGGACTCAAACCCAACTCTTATCATTATGGAGCAACATGACTTGATCCCGATGTCTTACCCTCAATCAATGGCATAATAGGCTAAACAATATTAAGATTGATTCTCAAGCCTTAATTTCAATCACATGCCAAAAAAGTTATACTCAACTAATTTGCAACTTAGCAAATCAAATTTGATTTCTTAAATAAGTGTACAAATCTCAAATCAGCGTAAAGCTTTATTAATTATTTGTAGCATCTATATAAAATACAACTGTTTGTAGTCAGAATATTTCTTCTAAATTCTATTAGAGTTTAAAAGGATCATAAATCATTGTCATAATATTTATTGAGTCTCTCTCAAAAATATTGTTGTTTTCAGGGTATACCTTACCTATTGGATTTGATTTAACGCCATGACTTTCCTTCACTCAATTCAACTAAGCAATTAGTGAATAAATTTATCGAAAGTACACCTAACACATATATAGTACTAATACATAAATTCAGCATTTATATTACCAGAAAAGTGACATTATAGGTAACAACTTACCAGTTGTAGCTTGTGCATCATTCATATAAAATACTTAAAAATGGTAAGTCAGTAGCAAGCATCAAGTAGGTCATGGATACTCAAAAATACCTCTTCTAGTAGTCATACTAATCATTGTTTGCTTTCAAATGATACGACCATAAATTATGAAGTATACTTTCTCAATAGCTGGTTTGTTTTCCAAATTTCAAAGAAGTAATTAATCAACCTAGATAAAGATGTGAAGTATTTCTTGTTTTCTTCAAGATAATTTATGCTTTTAATCAGTATGACCTATTTTATTTTATTTTTTATTTCTTTTTTTTTTTGGTACTATATGCAAGTGTAAAAATCCAAAAGGAAAAAAAAATATTCATCCAAGTAAAAGAAAATGTTTAAAGCGGCAGGACAGATTGAAGATAGTTAACACATAAATATGCATAGGACAATTTATATAAAATATCCTTGGTTACCATGTCATGCATCATATCAACAATTAACTGCTACTATGATTTTCACATATAGAACTTCGAAAATTTTATTCCATTCATGTGATATAAAAGATGTAATATTAATATGTGCTTATGCAATACAGGTGTAGTACGAAGTTGTGTGCATATGAGATTTTAAAGGAATGACAAGTATAAGATAATCATACCTTGTTACATTTCATTACTTACCATATGTAGTTTCTCTTTACATTTATCCATGTGATGATATGTATGGCTTCTAATTGTAATCTTTCCGGATGTAGAAATTTTTTTGTAGATATATATATACAATTAGTTAGATACTCGTGCTGATAACGTGTTATGGAATAAAAACAATTTAGTAAAACATGAACAAGAAATAGAGATAGGGAGAAGGAAGAGATTTTCTTCTTCAATTGTGTGTATTTTCCTATTTATTACAAGACCTTTATATAGACATGAAAAGTGAAGAAAATATGTCATGGAATATGTCATTGAACATAGAAAATATGTCATTGAATATGTCATTAACCATTTGAGAGAAAGATCATGAAGGAACAGTAGATATCCACCATATTTTAATTTTTATCATAACAGCACCGCTTTTATAAAGCAATTCTTTTTGTATTTTCAAAATAATATCTTTTTTTAGAAAGCATTTCTAACTTTTAAAAGTTTGGCCAATATAAGAGCTGGCAGTAATCACAAAGAAGTTGCTTACAGGCGCCAGTAGGTAAAGTACCTACAATTTTGTAAAATTATATCGCACGATTAGGAATGCCAGGCGGTGCGGGACGAGTTCTGTCTGAACCCGCAAAATTTAAACCCGTCCCGCCTCGTCCCGCTTCACATAAGATTTAAATCCACATTTATCCGTCCTGCACTTTACCCGCGTTCATCCGCCCCGCACCCGCATTTTTTTTTATTTTTTATTTTTAATAAAAATTCTTTTTTTTCTTTTGTAATAAATTTTCGTCAAAAATAAAATATAAAGTATAAAGTTAATTATTTACAAATATACCAATCTATAATGGACAAATTGTAAATGAGGGAGTATTATCATTGAAACCATTCAGTCAAACCAAACACGTACAAGTCAGATTTTTCCTCTCCTTTATTTTATTTTATTTTATATTTATTTTTTGGGTCAAAATCTCCTTTATCTTTTCTCTTCATTTCACTTCTCTCTGCCACATTGCCATTCCCACGCACGATGGAAAGCGATAAAGTGATCTCATAATTAATTTATGTGCATTAATTATATAAACCTATTTACATAGTTAAATCATGTAAAGTAACTCTAATTAATAAATATTGATTGATAATACTTATTAGTATAATAAATTATTAAATTTATCGTGTAAACATTCACTATACTATCAATATATATAACTTGAATTCTAACATATTGCAAGTGGCGAAACCAAAAATTTATTCAAGGGTGTTCAAACTTGAAAGAGGTGGAAAAAATTCTCCGACAAAGAGTATTTAATATATGTTATATACATCTAAAACCTAATATTTTACCTATATACATAGCAGGGGCGAAGCTATGTTGGCCCTAGGATGGTCAACTGACCACCCTTTACCGAAAAATTATATTACGTATAAAGTAAAATATTACTACTTGTTATTGATTAAAAATAGACTTTGAACACACTTGCATAACCCGCTGGCAAAGGGTGTTCAAAAATTTGAACACCCTTATTCAATTTCCTGGCTTCGCCTATAATACACATTATAATTTTTCGATGAACGATAGTCGGTTGACCACCCTTTAAAACATGTAGCTTCGCCCGAGGGCCAAAGAATTTAATTTTGCGTGTGCATACAGACATAAATTCTTCAAGTTTTTGAAAATAAAATTTAAATGATAAGTAATTCAAAGTTCGAAAATTATATTGAAGACATATGGTCAAAGAAGAACAATTTTGACTCTTCAAATAGGAGTAATAGATACGCCAAATAATAGACAAAAGGAAGTATGAATTATATAATCAGTAGGTAAACACCTACCGCCAGCGCAGCACCACGCTAGAAAGTGCGATGAAAATATTGTATGCTCATGTAATATTTCATGAGCAAAGCAAAATTTTTTAGTTTATGAATTTTGGACTATAATTTATTTATTTTGTTCACTGAGCTCTAGATAGAATATTTATGTATATCCAATGAAATTTAAATTAAATACAAAAATTGAATTAAAGTTATCGACTTGCCAGTGCGCATGAGCTTACTAGGAATAATAATTTATCTCCTCCGGACGCCCCAGTTAGTGGAGAAGTACAGAAGCCCCAGTTAGAAGGTGCGAGAGGCTAGCCTCGGTGGATAGCAGGGGTTAGAGGCAAGCCGCCTAAGAAGTCTTAGGGTAGGAGTTAGCGTAGTTGGAGTTGGCCGAGGACATGGCTAGGAAGGTGTGGAGGTCGAATAATAGAGTAGAAGGCTAGTAGATAGTCGAGCGTTTCTCTTTGTCTTACTCAGTTAGCTAGCATTAGTGTTAGTATGATTTTTTTTTTCCATAGATTGCTATTAATTACTACCTAGAATTTAACTGATTTCTTGGATTCGGTCTTATTTTATCTTGTTGTTACTCCTACTTCTTGTACTTACCTTTTTATTTCATCCGTTCTCCAGCCGAGAGTCTATCAGAAACAATCTTTCTGTCCTTGCAGGGTAGGGGTAAGGCTACATACATCTTACCCTCCCAAACCCCACGTGTGGGAAATTACTGTGCTTGTTGTTGTTGTTGTCCTCCGGACGTAGAAGCGGATCCTAAGACTTTTACGCGACGGGGACATAGTATTCTGCTCGACCGAAGCACTTTTAATATTCAATGTGTCAAATGATCTAAATTAACTATTATTAAGATACACATATACATATATAATTTCTGTCGAAGTTTACGGGGTCCGCGACCCCTCAATTATACATAGGTCCACCTGTGTATAATATCTTCCCCTCTAATTTCTGGAGTCAACTGAACTTTTCTCCTATATATCTTCCCCTCTAATTTCTTCCTTCTATCTGCACAAATCTTTGCCCTTAAATTCTCATTTTTTTTTCCACATACATATTTATATTTTATCATCCATATATTATGGGTATTTGTGGATCCAAAAAACGTCCTCCTCCTATCATTGTTAATATCCACCACAATTCAACAAATCATGTTATTAGAAATCAAAACAAACCGATTAAATTGAAGGATTCCATTTTGCAGGCTCGAAACAAGAAAAACCTAAGTCAAGTTCAACTGGCTAAAGTATATATATCTCTCCTTCTAAATTTTTTTAGTGTCTTATTCAGTTTTCACTATCCGTTTTGGTGCTTGATTAATCCAGATAAACACCGGGAAGCTCCACTTTTGGGAGATAAATTGCTCCGTATTTGTGAGCACCTAATTTTGGAGGTGTGACAGTGTTGAGTACCAGTTTTGAGGCTTGATTAATCCGGATAAACACCATGAAAGAATTAAGTGCTTCATATCAAAGACGAGTTCATACTCAGGGCTCGAACTCTAGACCTCTGATTAAGGATAAAGGAATATATACCACTCTATGACTGTGACCTCTCTTTCTAAGTTTGATTTCACAGACAAGGAAGATATTTTGTTGATTGCTAAAATTATGAATAAAATAAATTTGATAATTGCACTTGTTTTTATTTTGTAGAAATTAAATGTGAAGCCACAAAAGATTCAGGAATACGAATCCGGGAAGACAATTCCAAGCCAAGTGACCATCTCTAAGCTGGAGAACATTCTTGGAGTGAAACTTCAAGGTAAATGGGAAAATTTTAAATATTAGAAATTAAAAAGTAGAAATGTTAATTTCTTTCAAGTTATAGCTGAAGTTGGAATACAATATTAACTTGATTATTAATTTTGCTATATTGGAGTGTGATGTGCATGTTGTTTTTTAAGGATAGAGTTTCAATTCAATATCCATATTGAACCTATTTTAATTTTAGTTTTTTATTTTTTATATCTGGTTTAGTTTCATGTAGATTTTGATCATACTTAGTTGATCTTCTTTCATGTAATTTTTGTGTATTATAATTTTTCTAAGGTTTTTTAAATATTTGTTAAATGTAACAAATCCATAGACCGCTAACGGTTGAACCGAAAGAGAATTCTCTATGAAATTTGTCTTAGGTAAATTCTATATTGCAGGGGCAGATGCAAAACTTTTTGTAAGCGATTTCATATTTACATAAATAAAAAAATATTATTTAATATTATTTTACCTCAAGTTGAAAGCCTTTGTAGCCTCAAATTTTTAACAAAAATGCGCCTCAAAGATCTTCAAAAAATATAATGTCTAGGTACAAATTCGAACTTTACAAGCCCAAATATAAGCTTGACCAACGGATCAAGAAGCACTATCTACTAGGAAGCGGTGTTTACTATATATTGCTTTATTTTTGCAGAATATTAGTATAACTATTTAATATATTTTTTTCGGGACACCGCATTCACACATGAGCACCCGCCCCTGCTATATATATCGGAATAAAAAAAAACAATATCAGGAGTCATATAAAGGCGAGTTCAGGATTCAGCTGTAGATCATTGTGTTAATTTTTCTTTAATTTTCAGATTTATACAAAACTAAGTTGAGGGAGGATATCAAGCAAGCTCGAGAAAACATGTTCATGACTCAAACTCAACTTGCTAAGGTATATCNATATATATATATATAGTATATATTGAACATGCATTTCTCTTATGTTAAGTTGTATACGCTATCAGTGAATTTTAACTTGTGATATAGTGGCTGAACTAAAAATCTAACAAGGAATTTCAAAAAAGTTCAAAAAATGAGGAACATGCATTTTTCTTTTAAAGGTGATTTAAATTTTTTAATATATATTAAAAAATTCATATTATTTATAAAATATAATTTTCAGACGGATATATGATTTAATTGAATTTTCTTCATTGCATATGACTCCATAACTGCTACCATAACATGTTAGTTATTATTTTTATCAGATTACCTAATAATATTTATCAAGAGATTTATCTGTAATTATAACACTGTCAGTGCATAAAATTTAAAACTCAATTTGATAACTAACCTATGTTGTTGTTATGTGCAGAAGCTAAAAGTGAAGGTGCAAATCATTAAAGATTACGAGAATGGAAAGACAATCCCAAAACAAAATATGATCTCTCAATTGGAGAAAACTCTTCTGTTGAAACTTCACTGAAAGAAATAATGTGTAGTGGCAAAAGAGAGCCTTACATGTCCAAGGAAAAGGAGAGATTCATCAGACTTATAACCTGCTCAGATGCATCGTTGAGTATTAAAAATAAAACGTCTCGATTTATATCAATTAATCGGTTATAATTGATTCATCGACTTATAACGTAGTGATGAATGAATGTAATTCATTAACTTTGTTACAATACAAATAATGAATACGGTATCATATATTATAACATGCTATAAATGTAGTTAAAGTACCACGAAGTGTGTGTGTTATATATATACACACACTAACATATACTATAACAAGTTATATATACATTAGAGTATTACAGTGAAGTGTCTATGTGTGTGTGTCTATATATATATATAAGAACATGAAGCGCTAGGAATACAGGGTCGGGTTCTTTAAGGATTGATACACTTATAAATTGATTCATCAACTTATAACCTACTCAGATGCATCGTTGAATATTAAAAACAAAACGTCTCGACTTATATCAATTAATCTGTTATAATTGATTCATCGACTTATAACCTAGTGATGAATGAATGTAATTCATTAACTCTGTTATAATACAAATAATGAATACTATTATATCAATTAATAGAATAATATTATATTGATTTATCAATTCATTAATTATTCGTACGTAGTAATGTATAAGATTGATCATCAATTACAATATAGTTTATGCGTGTATATGAAATTATTCATATACTTAAATATAAATTAAAAAATTCCTTTACATACATGCTATTATAATCTATTAAAAGTAATTACCTAGTTAATATAATTTTTTTTAAAGATTATGCTTATAGTTTATAATTATTTATAATAATTGTAGTTAAATAAAATAAATATTTATAGCTAATAATAATTTTTCATAGCTTATAATATTTAAAAACCAAAATAGTTTTTTTTTTTTTTAGAAATAGCAACCAACGTTGGTCTCTATTTTGGTCAAACTGTCAAAACTTAATTATCTACAAAAAATAGCGACCAATGTTGGTCGCTTTTTTTAAAACTAGACTCAAAAACGGG